CTTTCCTATTCTATTCTTTTCTATTCTACTCTAATGTATTCTATTTGAAATTTGAATTTTGAAAGACAGTTATATTCTTTCTATTTTATTCTATTCTATTTTTTTTTTTATATTCTATTTTTTCTATTTCTATTCTATTCAAAATTTGAATTTTGAAAGACAGTTATTTTTTTATTTTATTCTATTTTTTTTTATATTCTATTTTTTCTATTCTATTCTATTTGAAATTTGAATTTCAGAAAATGGTTATATTCTTTCTATTTTATTCTATTCTATTGTTTTTTTATACTCTATTTTTTCTATTCTATTCTACTCTATTCTATTCGAAATTTGAATTTCAGAAGACAATTAAAGTCTTTCTATTTTATTTTATTCTATTGGTTTTTCTATTCTTTTATTTTCTATTCTATTCCATTCTTTTTTATTCTTTTCGAGTCTATTCTAATTTATTCTATTCAAATTCATTCTATTTGAAATTCAAATTTCGGAAGAGAGTTATATTTTTTCTTTTATATTCTATCTTATTGTCCTATTCTATTCTGTTCTAATTTATTCTATTTAAATTAAAATTTAATCTATTCAAAATTTAAATTTCAGAAGACCGTTATATTCTTTCAAGTTTATTCTATTGGTTATTTATTCTACTCTATTTTATTCTATTCTAATCTATTCTCTTATTGTATTCCATTGTTTTTCTATAGTTTTTCTATTCTTGTCATTTTCTAGTTTCTTTTCTATTCTATTCTAATCTATTATGTTCTATTCTTTTCATATTAAAATTGAATATGAATATGAAATATGAGTCGATTTTGATTCAAATTCAATTTGAGTTGAATAAAATTCAAATTTTGTTTAGTTATTTCAGATTCCTTGCTATTGTAATTCGGAAATTCGGATACATCCAAATTTCTGAATTTTGATTCAGAACGAAACAAACTGCACATGTCTAATGTATTTCATTAGTGGTATTTGGGGGTTTTATTGTATTTTGGGGGTACATTTTATGTTGATAGGGCTTTTTTTTAGCATTCACTTGTTGCTGACCATTTGCTCTTGCAGCTGCCTTTTATTCATACCCTGCTGCTTTATCATATGAAAGTTAAAAAGTGTGCACCTAACCATCTCACATTTTATTGCAGTATATCACACATTCATTGTACACCCCCCCCACACACACACACACTCACACAAAAGTATGATAAAAGTTAGGCATATGCCAGTTAGGCATGGTATCCTGAATAAAACTGTCCTGCTACTGACCAGTTGTACACTGCTGTATCATCTGAATTACCCCCCGGTCACACATCAAACCCGATTTTTGAAATTGTGCAACTTACAGTGAAGTCACACGATTTCAAAATCGGGTGACCTGCCAATTTCCTTGCGATTTGCAAGACATCTGACACAGATGTCTATGAAAATCGCAACAAAAGTAGTGCACACAATACTTTTGAAATCGGTGCGGCTCCGATCAAGTTGGAACCGCACAGATATGACCGCTCTAATAGCGGACAATAGGGTGCGACTTGGCATATGTTTTGCAAGTCGCCTGGCATGCAAATCTCACCGGAGGCTTAAGCAGAGCTTGAGAGAATGTGGACAGCAGCAGGACAGTTTTTTGCATCAATGTAAACAGGGACAGCCTTAGCCAACTGCCAGCCAATTTCTATCTGCCAGTCAAAATGGGTCTACTCTCATTTGATGAAAAAGTATGTGATGCTGCTAAAACCACCTCACAAAAGCCATTTTTTTTACATATTGAAATTAATCATATTGGGGCATTGCTGCTGTATGTAAGCTATAAATTAGATTTAATTATACAAAAAAAAATAAATTCTATAGACAAATATGCACTGCCAGTGTATGCCATCAGTGAGACTGAAAATGGCACTGCAACATCACATGTAATAATAATAACAATAATTTATTTTATATAGGGTATAAAGGTAGCTTCTCAAAGCACTTTAAAAGACAAGAGAAACATACCATTTATGATACTAGTAAGGCATCCTCCAAGCATTTTTGCATTTTTTTGCACGAATGTTTAAAAAGGCATTTTAGTCCTGAAGATTACACAAAACCCCCAAACATAATATATTTTCTGAAAGCAAACACCCTAGAGAATAAAATAGTGGTAGGTTTTTTTTTGTCACACAATATTACCGCAAAGGTCAAAGAAACACAAACTTTCAATTAAAAACACACTAAAATGAATTTTAGGGCAAACAAACGCACCAAATTACCCAAATTTTGGGAAAATATAGAAGAGAAGGGTTGCACCAAGTAGATACCCAACATGTCAAACCTTATATTTGTGTGTGCCCGTGAAATAGCAACAAACTTCAGTACAATATAGTTTGTATAGGTGACACATCAAAAGCCCTCTACAGGTCATCAGTTACTTAGTTACATAGTTAGTCTGCTGAAAAAAGACAAAAGTCCATCCAGTTCAACCATTAAGAAAAAAAGTTATAATCCTATACCCACAGTTGATCCAGAGGATCAGTTTAGTGTCACGGAGGAGGTCTTGTGCTAGAATTATTGCTCTCACTATGGCGTGTGCGGTGATACATGACATGTGTATGGCAATTTAAGTTTTCACGAGTAGGCACCTCCAACGTTTGTAGATGTGGGGTTAGGGGCCTCAATTTTTTATTTTTTTTTTTGGGGGGGGAAATGTTATGTGCTTGGGTGTAACTTTTTTTTTCCATCACAAAGTCCCCTGTGTGATGATTTCTAGGTGACAGGTTCTCTTTAAAGAGAGATGCAGGGACCCTGCATGCCTCCTCTGGGCTCCAGTGAATGTATTCTAATGCAAATTGCAAAGTGACAGGGTGACCAAGAAGTAACATTATACACTTCGCTTTCCTGGTCACAGCAAAAAGGGGAGGAGAGAGGATGTGTGTCTCTGCTCTCCTCTCTCCCTTCTACCTGCTGGCCCCTATCATGTTGGCCCCAGGGCTGCAGATGGGCAAGCGGAGCCCGGAATACATGGCGGAACCTGCAATCAGGAGGGGGGGTGGAGGGGCTCCATTACCAGGGTGTGTGGAAGCGCACCGACTGCTTTCACCTGACAGGCAGGAGTCTGCTTGTCAGTTTTATATACGCTGCATCCACCGGATTGTGTGTAAAATAACCCAGCTGTCAGGACCTTTCAATGTATGGACAAAAGGGTTAAAGAACTGTGTATTTGCATGAAAAGATTCTGTTCCTGCTGTTGGCCCTTTTTTTTTGCACTGTCTGTCATGGTAGTATCTGGCTTCCTATGGCTTTTTAAGAGAAACAGATCGCAAAATGCGATGCGTTTTCCAGAAATAGCATTACATACAGTAGGTGAGAACACCCATGAGATGCAATTCAGGTGCAGATTTAAAAAATAGTCCTGCACCTTATTGGTGCGGATGTGATGCGATGTGAGGCACACACCGCACTACACAGGCATTTGCATGTAAGTTGCACAGGAGATGTGATTCCTGTGTGAATTACATGTGGTGTCCCAAACCGTATAGTGTGAACCTGGGCTAAAGGTACATTTTTTTTCAAATAACAACCATGTAACACTTACCTGCTCTGTGTAATGGTTTTGCACAGAGCAGCCTCGATCCTCCTCTTTTTGAGTCCCCTGCTGGCTCTCCTGGCTCCTCCCCCCCCCCCCGTTGAGTGCGTGCCCCTGCCATCTGCTATGGGGGCACTCGTGCATGCTTGTTCCTGAGCCCCACTTTGAGTGTCCAAAAGACACACAGATCACGGGTCGGTCCTGTTTCTCACTCCTTGTCACTGGCTGTGACTGACAGCAGTGGGAGCCAATGGCTCCATCCTCTGTGTCTGAACCAATGAGAAGGGAGAGAGCTGGGAGAGCCAGTGCTCTCATGCATGTCGGTGGATCAAGATCAGGCTCAGGTAAGTATTAGGGTGCTGAGGGAGGCGCTGTAGGATTTTTCCTACATGCATAGAATGCATTAAGTTAAAAAAAACCTTCAGCCTTTAGAAACACTTTAATGCAGCTCTGTATTCATGAACACATCATTAAATACATTTTTTAAAATGCAGGTAGAATAAGTACCTGAATTTGACTTGGCATCAGTCTCTTGCCTTCCTGTAGCTGTACCTGTTCCTGTTCATGGATAGGGAGAAGCAGCCCAAGCAGCCACTCAGTGACTGCTGCTGAGTAGCTTTTGCTGATTCTCCTTTCACTGTCCAATCACAGGCTGGGGGGTTAGTAGAAGACCTGTAAGTGTTACCTAACTGCAGTAGAGGAAAATCAGGTCTTTCATCCTCTCAGAACGGGATGAACAAAAGTACAAATTCTTTGACAGGCAAAGCAAAACATGTTTTTATCTGGGTATTTAGCTCTTTGCCTTTAGTTCAGCTTTACGTGTTGACAAATATGAAAAAAAAAAACTGAAAGATAAATGTTCTCTAATAAAGGTAATTTAAGCCAATAATATATTACAAATCCTGACTCTTCTAACGGATTGCCTAGGAAGTGGAAAAGCATGCACCACCCAGGGAGAGGGCCAGAGGCTGGAGGGCCAACAAGTATTAATGAGTATTAGGATAAATGTTTTTATTGTTCCCGCAAAGTCACACGGCATCTGAGATTACAGCTCCTGATTACCCACAAAGGAAAGTTGTACCAACCGGAACCACTGCATACATCACAAGAAAGTCATTGTACAAAATTAATTAAAATTGACATAGCTTCCAATTTGGGCAGAAGTTTCTGATTTAAAGCTAATAGAAGAGTAAAACAAATATCATTTACAAATGTGTAGTATATCTCTCTCCTCCCAAAAGTACACAGATATCCTGTAGATTTATCTATTTTATATCCTATTGAATGTTAAAAAAAAATCCTGGTTACTGTATATTTTCTTGTGCAGTGCTTACCCCCAAAGGAGCCGCGTGATGTGCCAGGTTCTATGTTCCTGTGCCCACAACTCTAACTGCTCTGTACTCTCTGACACACCTGATTGGACTGAGGATATAAATGCAGACACCTGTATGTATGAATACTCCCAACACAGCAATACATATACACCAGAGAATGACACAGACCTGTTTACGTATCAGCAAAGTACCGTATATTGCACATGGTCCAAGCAGGGGCGGACTGACCATATGGAAACTCCGGCACTACCCGAGGGCCTGGGGTCAGTAGGGGGCCCCATGAGATTCCCCTGGTACATTTTTCATAGGCTTTTTTGAGTTTTGGCAAGGACACAGGGGCCCCATGATCCCCTATTGCCCGGGGGGCCCCATGAGTTGTCAGTCCGCCCCTGGGTCCAAGTAAGAAGACATTATACTGGAATATATCAGCAAGGAAAGGTTATACTGATGTAACACTATGCATTGTAACTGACAATGCAGAACCTTATTCATCCACAAGATGGCAGCATTCAGCACTTTTACTTGCCATAGCCTTAGTATAGGTGATCAGAGACTTATGGGAATTGTAGGCTGAAAGCAGAACTTTCTTCACAGTTAAACTGAAGTTAAAGTACAGAACTCACGAGAAATCGCTGAGGGGTGAGAGGATATAAAAGAAAAAGCCCCAAAAAATACAGTGAGGCGTCGGAGTGAGACTTTATAGTGGAAGAAGTGTGTGAGAGTTCATGCTGAGCTGCGCTGTTCTGGACCAGATCAGGTTTGGCTGGAGTGTTCGGAGTAGCTGGGGAAGCTGAGGTTAGTACTTGTCAGGAAAGGCCTGCCCATAGTGCAGGCGAAGATCTGCGGCGCAGATGTGCGGGTACCTGGACATAGGTGCGCATATGTGCGTGTGCACACTCGCGCATACGGCTGCGCTCCTGTCATTAATGCTGGCGCCAAAAGGGCTATTTAAACTGGCTGCAGTAGATATCCCATTGCTGTATGGTCTTATCCCTGCTTGCGTTCCCTGATTCTTGTGATTGTCTTCTGATACCGAACCAGCCTGTTCCTGACCTCCGCTTGATCGCTACCTGCCCTGACCTCTGGCTTGCCTTGGATTTACCCTTCTGTCTCTACTCCTGTCTGATTGATCTTCCGCTGCTGACCTGGCCTGTGACCCGACTACTCTTCCTCCTGCCACTTAAGCCTGATCTGCCCGACCAATACTGAATCCGGCTCATCTGACCCTGCATCCTCAGAACGCACAGCTTGGTAATCCATCCATCCAGCACGGCTGCATCGGAATTCTGCTCTCTGCCTCCGGCCCGCCCTGCAGCTCATCTGCATACCAGCTATTACTGGACTGATCACAGGCACTCATACCCCACCGTGCCCCTGTGACCGCTGTCTCACCATCCGCTGTCTCAGCCGGAATTGTATTGGAGGCCTGCCTCTTCATGTCAGGCTCACTATCCAGGTACGTGACAGTACTGTTAAGCTGAGCATTGAGTGGAGAAGGCTGTTCCGGGGATACCTTTTAGCTACAGGAGTGTGGGAGTCACTGCCATCACAGCTCCTGTTAAAGGGGACTTCCCTACCGCAGGACACCCATCGCTAAGGACTGGGTGAGAGGTTTGCTAACATACGCATTGTTGTAGCCAGCTGCCATCAGTTTGTTGCCAGCCAGGTTTTTTTCAGGGTATCAGTAACTGCAATACTAACACCTAGCATTAATGGCTGTGGACACAATAATAACCCCCAGAATTGTTGTCAGTGACCACAGTAATAATACCCAACAGTGGTGTCAGTGGACACTATAATAACCCTCTGCATTGGTGCCAGTGGCTGCAATAGTAAACCCATATTGATGTCAGTGACTGCAATGATAAACCCCACGCTGGTCTCAGAAATAATAACCCCAGGCATTGGCGTTAGAAACCACAATAATAAACCCCACACTGGTGTCAGTGACCACAATAATGACCCACTGCGTTGGTGTCAGCGGACACAGTAATAACCCCCAGCACTGGTGTCAGTGAACACAACCATAACCGTCAGCATTAATCTCAGTGACTGCAATAATAACCCAGAATTGGTATCAATGATTGCAATAATAACCCCAACATTAGCCTAGGTGCCTACAACAATAAACTGAGGTTGCAATAATAAACCAGTCTCTATGGCAAACTTTGCAAGGTACTCTTTTTTAGCCCGTATAAATCTGTCTCTACCATAAAAGGGCCACTTGGTTTGCCACCCAGGCCAAAGGTCCATAGTGCTTTCCTCACTCATGATACAGAGTCTGGGGATGGAATAGCCAGTTACCAGGACCGAACACTGTTACATGAAGAGGCAGATGCTGTCATAAACCCTGTGTAAATTCCAGCACACATGTACAGAACTCAACGGAACTGGCCGCACTGTTTTAGGTCTATGGATAAGCTACATATTCACTTGTCTGTACAAAGTAACAAGTAATAGGAATATAGAACTCTCCTACAACACTTTAGGGTATGAGACCAATGAAACCCATTACTTTATTTTTTTGGCATATGTGACTTACATTAATCATATAAATTAAAAATGATCTCGAAAACATGGCTCATGACTTCATTATGCCGCCTTTAATTCCTAAGCTGAAAGACTCCATATTGACTCCATAAATTAAAAGAAGCAGACCACTCAGGCGTCTACAGCACACATTTTCTTGCGTTAATTTTTTTTTTTCAATTTTTTTTCTTTTTTTGCCTGAAAACTAATAAAGTCACTGAGAATCTCTGTCATAATTAAAGAGGAGAGAGATGCAACAGAAAAATATATTGGGATCGCCCTGCAGCAAACTATGTAGTCTTCAAGTCATTGACTGAGCTTCCAAGTGTTCAGTCATGTGACCCACTCGTCTAACTCTTTCTTAGTAGAGAAGTGAGAGGTTCAATTAACCACCTTTTCCATATCCATTAGTCTACAAGAGGTTAATTCAATGAGATTAGTCTTTATAAGATAGCAATAGTCTGTAACCACTTCAGCTCTTGTGCCTGTATGCCCCTTATGGAACAGAGCAATTTTTACTTGGGCCTGGGTTTTCAGCAATCACTTTGTCATTACTTTAAGCTGAACTCCATCTTTTGTTCCATTTGACATAGTTCGTTTGGGCCAAGCTGGCCTAAACAATGTCCTTTACTAATATCCAACATGTGACACAAATATATATAAAATATATAATAACCACAAATAATAGCGCTTCACTTAATGAATAAATAAATAAAACCACCACCAAATTAAATATATGTGTGTAAAAAATGAATGAATAAATATTCATAGAATCCTCATAAAGTCCATTCAGTAAAGTCCACACATCAATGATATATATGATCTTCAATAAATGCAGTTATGAAGTCTTCCATCACCAGTGCATAATCCAGTGCTCAACACCCCATCAAAATACACACTCACCAGATACTGGTGAAAAACCAGCATATCCTTGTATATTCAATGATAATAATGTATTCCACAGCTTAGCTCACTCCAGCTGAGAGATCCCATATACTCCACAGATCACATGTGAACAGAATAAAGAACACTCGCCATAGTGTAATATCGTATGAAACTCTTTATTTCAAATATCCCCCATAAAACCGCACTCACATCAAGTTAGTGAAAAACAAGCATTGTACGATTAAAATCGTCAAATCAGAGCTCCCAGTGGCGTCTCACCAGCCTGCCTGCAACAAATATGGCGTCGTTGCGGTCACGTGGTCCAGACACGTGGTACGGAGTGCATGGTGATGTCACTGGTTAACAATGCTCTAACGCGTTTCGACACGACTTTGTCTGAGGGTGTGGTAAGGAGTGCGTGAGTGGTCAATCTAACAAGCAGCAACTGAAAACCATGACAATAATGAATGGCGGGAATGGCCGGATAGCTCAGGTATAATTAACCCGCACCTGATCCAATCACAAGCACCATCTTGTGTATGAAAAGTATATACAGTAGCAGCAGATACATTTATAATGATAATTAATACGAACAACTGGACAATTTGAGACATAAATATATCACCAGTATCCACAAATATTTAACAGATAAATCAAATACATAATCAAATTAATGAACAAACTAAATTAAATAAGATTTAAAATCAAATACATTAATGACATAAATGAAAATTATATAAAAATTAAAATAAATTAAAATAAAATTTATTCATTTATTTTTCACACACATATATTTAATTTTGGTGGTGGTTTTATTTATTTATTTATTTATTTAGTGAAGCGCTATTATTTGTGGTTATTATATATTTTATATATATTTGTGTCACATATTGGATATTACTTTTAATTTTAGGTGATAATAGCTGCTCCTATTATATATTATTTATTTATTATTTGTGCATTGTATTGGAGTCCAGGGGCGCGATGTTATAAACCTTGGGGTTTATTGATATTAGGATCGATAACATTTATTCTTTTTATAGCAATGTCCTTTACTAACACCTGCAAGTGCTGTATAAACTGTATGTAGTGGAGGCTATATACAGTATTCAGCACTGTGTTCTGATCCAAGCCGAGACCGTTCTGTCTCAGACCCAGAACACAATTGAGTCTGCCAGAGTGACGCTCAGCCATTCAGAGAAAACAATGTATTCTATCAATGAGGTTGTGTGACATCATCATCCCACCTCTCTGACTCATTGATAGAATATATCACTTTCTGTGAATGGCTGAGTGCCACTCCGGCAGACTCAATTGTGTTCCGGGTCTGAGACAGGAAGGTCTCGGCTCGAACCAGAACACAGTGCTGTATACTGTACGTATATAGCCTCCGCTACCTACAGTTTATACAGCACATGCAGCAGCCTCAGATGTTAATGAGGGACATAGTTCATTTGGGCCAGCTTGGCCCAAACGAACTATGTAAAGTGGAACAAAAGATGGAGTTCAGCTTTAAAATAACAAAATAATACATACATCATTTGTTTTTTTGGGGGTTATTAAAGCTTTTTTTTTTACAATATTGTCTTGCAAATATTACTTTTTTATGTAATCTACAGACAAAGATGGCAGTGCCCGTGTTTCCAAATGGTCAGTCCGCCCCTGCTCTGTAGTATGGTACTGAGTTGCATTTGCGACCCCTGTAGGTACACCCCTAACTCGTCCACTTCTCTAAATCTCTCTATTGGCCACTAAATATGATGGGTGTGGCCAGGGGCGGACTGACAACTCATGGGGTCCCTGAGCAATAGGGAATCATGGGGCCCCTGTGTCCTTGCCCAAACTCAAAAAAGCCTATGAAAAAGGTACCATGGGCATCTCATGGGGCTCCCTACTGACCCCGGGTCCTCAGGCAGTGCCCGAGTTTCCAAATGGTCAGTCCGCCCCTGGGTGTGGCTAAAAGAAAGAAGCCTGAGAAAAGAACCCATG